TATCAATCCGTAATAAAAGACGTGAGGAAATTCTGTCTTTTTTAAAGACAAAAATTTTTGAGGCGAAATACCCAAAAAGAAGTTTGTAAAAAAAGCTTTTAATTAATGTGCTCAAATTCAAAAATCGGTTAAAAGGCTTAAAATGTGAATAAATACCCGCCGTGTGCCCAGTATTTATTTGAAAAGCTTCCGCTTTTGCTGTGATGGCATAGTGAAATTGGTGAAAACGCGCCAGAGGGTTTTTTCTCAAAAGGGACCGCCTATTTAATACAAATAGTTGTGGACGCTACTGAAAAAAAGGTGAATGGTAAACACGTAACATGGAGCGCTTCGTCGTATATCGAATTTAATTAAGGAAATTATCCCCCGAAAGATAAGACAGTTTAGAAGTCTGGCGCAAAGTTTGTCGGGGCTAAACTTGTTCGTGTATAAGTAAGATTGCAGATTTCGTATAGTTGCAGTTTTGTCAGGAAAAGTTCGAAACATTAGCTCGGGATTATGTCTTGAATGTAAATATTATAATTTCCCGTCGAGTTCATTCTTTGTCAGCCCAACTAACTTCCGCAAAGTTGCGCCTGATGCGCCCGCACAAGAAGGGTTGCATGGAAAATTGATTTCGCTCTGGCCCATTATAATAACTACCACTTGACAGTATCAAGGCACTTAACAATGCCGGGAGTTGTTCGCGAAAATATATCGTTTCGTGCTGGGAAATTCGCCGATAAAACATGAGAAATTGAGAAGTGAATAATACAATTACAAAAAATTGCTAAGTTTGCCTAAATCCTGTCCATCTTCAATGTTCGTTGTACGTTCGTGGCGTTAACCCGTCCAATATACGGTAAAATGCTAATAGCCAATTATTCCCAGCATTAAGACTAAATTATGAAAATAATTTATTACTCGGCAAGTTTTTTTCTACTGCAAAAAACAGGTTCTGTAGCATTAAGACACTCGGGATCATATTCATTATTAAGTGCCTTATTACCGGACCCTTAACTCGGCAACTTTTTATATGCCATCCCGAGCCCGATTAATCTCAATAAAGCATAATGAGCTGAAAAACTGTTTTAATGCAATTTGTGTTTAATTAAAGATCTGTCGTCACGGTGGTTGTGTTCCTTCCGAAGAAGCCAATGGGTTCAGTTTGCACTCCATTAGCCAACTAAGGCTGATCGATTTTTTCAACCTGTCACCTAAAAGCAAAACAATGTAGTTCTATTAAAGCTACGCGATGTAAAACTCTCCATTGTCGTTCGCCATTGTTTCCTTTCGCAGTATGGGAATCTGCAAAAACCCATTCGCTCTTCGTCTGCACTTAATGAGTAAACAACTTGTTACTCTATTTGCGTGAGGAGGATAACGTAACTAATTGTGATGCGACAGTAATGAGCTTCTAAAAATGGTTGCGTAATTAAAGGTCTCTAGTCTCCAGTGTTCGTTAAAGCATGGTTCAGGTGAAGAAAGTTGGATAAACACTATTTACTTAAGGTAATCTTAGCTAAGCTTTTGAGTTCTAATTAATAGAGCGCAGAGTAGGACCTAAATACTAGACAATTATCCAAATCAGCGATAATAATTTGGCGCTACAAAAGTCTCTCATCAGTGCGAAGGAATTAACAAAGAAACACCAGACACACGCAGATACGTTTGTTCGTTATATGATTAAAACGATAATTAAAATTGACGTAACGCCGCGTTTGAATATGCGGAGAAAATTAAATTCAGTGGGCCAGAAGCTTTCGGATCCACTTTATTGTTGCGATGATAATTCCACACGGACGATGTTGAACCGAAACCGAAGGGTTTTTGTGTTTGCGGTTCTGTAAGCAGATTGTTCGTGGTGGGAATGGGTTAGTTTAATAAGTCGCCAATGTGGAAATGGAAACTTGATTTTCAGTTATTCGCTCAAAAATTAACAGGCACTTTTAGCTTTCGATTTCGATAAAAGCCTGTTCACATACAAAAGGGCAAGGTTGAGTTGACAAGAGCATTATTTTCTTCATTGATACTCCAAAAGTCAGTTCGTTGAATCGTGCAGTTTTGTAGGATTCTACGAACGTTAATCATCTTAGTGCGGATAATGAGCAAATCTTCGCTGCTGAGTCAGTTTGAAAATACATTTCTCAAAAACCCGTCGATGAAAGACAATGAGGGGCTCTTTTCTTCACTAATACCCCAAAATTCAGTTCAATGGCGCTTTTTTCTAAGATTTTAGTAATTTTTAATCATCGGAGTGCACATTTTTCACGACCTTTGTCGCATAGGGAGTTTAAAAAAACATCTCTGGAAAACCTGTGGAGCTAGAAAAGCGTTTGTTTCCACATCTGAAAAAGCACTCTTTTGTTCACTAGTGCTCTTAAATTCAGTTTAATCACGCTATTGTTTTAGATTTTACGATTTTTTTAGCATGCGAGTGCGATATTTTGCAATCATTCGTTGGACAGTGAGTTCCGAAAATACATTTCTGAAAACCGGTGGAGCTAGAAAAGCGTTTGTTACCACATCTGAAAAAGCACTGATTTCTTCACTAGTGCTCTGAAATTCAGTTTAATCGCGATATTTTCCTACATATTACGAATTTTTGATCATCCGAGTGCGGATTTCTCGCCATGTCCTCTGCGTACAATGAGTTTCAAAAATACGTTCCTCAAAAACCGGTGGAGGTAGAAAAGCGTTTGTTACGATATCTCAAAAAGCACTCTTTTCTTCACTAATGCTACAAAATGCAGTTCAATCGGCCTCTTTTCTTAGATTTTACGAAATTTTAATCATTGGAAGGCGGAGTTTTGACGATCTTTTCTTGCACAGTGAGTTTCAAAAATACATTTCTGAAAAACCAGTGGAGCTAGAAAGGCCTATGTTACCACATCTGAAAAAGCACTGTTTTCGTCACTAGTGCTCTGAAATTCAGTTGAATCGCGCTATTTTCCTAGATTTTACGAAATTTTAATCATCGGAGTGCGGATTTTTGACGATCTTTTCTTGCACAGTGAGTTTCAAAAATATATTTCTGAAAAACCAGTGGAGCTAGAAAAGCCTTTGTTACCACATTTGAAAAAGCACTGTTTTCGTCACTAGTGCTCTGAAAGTCAGTTAATTGCGCTATTTTCGTAGATTTTACGAAATTTTAATCTTGGAAGTGTGGATTTTTGACGATCTTTTCTTGCACAGTGAGTTTCAACAATACATTTCTGAAAAACCAGTGGAGCTAGAAAAGCGTTTGTTACCACATCTGAAAAAGCACTGATTTCTGCACTAGTGCTCTGAAATTCAGTTTAATCGCGCTATTTTCCTAGATATTACGAATTTTTGATCAACCGAGTGCGGATTTCTCGCCATGTCCTCTTCGTACGATGAGTTTCAAAAAAACATTCCTCAAAAACCGGAGGAGGTAGAAAAGCGTTTGTTACGATATCTCAAAAAGCACTCGTTTCTTCACTAATGCTACCAAATGTAGTTCAATCGGCCTCTTTTCTTAGATTTTACGAAATTTTAATTATCGGAGTGCGGATTTTTGACGATCCTTTCTTGCACAGCGAGTTTCAAAAATACAGTTCTGAAAAATCAGTGGAGCTAGAAAAGCGTTCGTCACCACATCTGAAAAAGCACTCTTTTCTTCACTAGTGCTCTGAAATTCAGTTTAATTGCGCTATTTTCCTAGATTTTTCGAATTTTTAATCAACCGAATGCGGATATTTCGCGGTGTCCTCTCCGTACAATGAGATTCAAAAAAACGTTCCTCAAAAACCAGTGGTGGAAGAAAAGCGTTTGTTGCGATATCCGAAAAAGCACTTCTTTCTTCACTAATGCTATCAAATGCAGTTCAATCGGCCTCGTTTCTTAGATTTTACGAAATTTTAATTATCGGAGTGCGGATTTTTGACGATCCTTCCTTGCACAGTGAGTTTCAAAAATACAGTTCTGAAAAATCAGTGGAGCTAGAAAAGCGTTTGTCACCACATCTGAAAAAGCACTCTTTTCTTTATTAGTGCTCTGAAATTTAGTCTAATCGCGATATTTTCCCAGATTTTTCGAATTGTTAATAAACCAAGTGCGGATTTTTAGCGATGTCCTGTTTACCCCGTGATTTTCAAAAAAAACGCTCTTCAAAAAGCGGTAAAGATAGAAAAGCGTTTCTAACCACATCTGAAACAGCATTCTGTTCTTCACTAATGCTACAAAATGCAGTTCAATCGGCCGCTTTTCTTAGATTTAACGAAATTTTAATCATCGGAGTGCGGATTTCTTGCGATGTCCTATTTGCACAAGGACTTTCAAAAAAACATTCCCCAAAAACAAGTGGAGGTAGAAAAACGTTTATCAATTTGTAATAAATTTTTTTATCAATCTGTAATAAAAGACGTGAGGAAATTCTGTCTTTTTTAAAGACAAAAATTTTTGAGGCGAAATACCCAAAAAGAAGTTTGTAAAAAAGAAAAACGTTTGTTACGATATMYGACAAAACMCTCTTTTCTCCACTAATRCTCYAAAATGCWGTTCAATCGCCAGCTTTYCTTAGATTTTACMAAATTTTAATCATCGGAGTGAGGATTTTTAACCACCTTTGTCRCACAGTGATGAAAAACCTGTSGAGGCAGAAAAGCGTTTGCTGCGGCACCTGAAAGCGCACTCTCTTCCTCACTAATGCTCCAAAATMCAGGACAATCGCCCTAATTTCTGAAATTTTACYAACTRATCATCTGAGTGCAYATTTTTCACGTTTCTTCGTTGCACAGCRAATTTCAAACTTACATTWCTAAAAAACCTGTAGAAGTAGGAAAAGCGCTTGTTGCTGCGTTAAAAAGGGCGCCCTTTCCTCACTAAAACCCCAAAATTCACTTCGAAAAATTGACTAATCACTGATTGGACTGTGAAACAAAAATATGTGCTCACCTCGATTGAAGGTGCCACAATATGTCCACCAGTCAGCTGATGGTGATGATGATGAGGCGTGGTGGTATGCCTTGGTAGCACCTCGTTCAAGTCTTCGTACAGCCCGGTGGCTGCCGCTGCATCACAGTTGTTTTGAGGGGAATTTTTACAAGGTAAAAAGTTTTGCACTCGTTTATGTCTGAAACAATCAAACAAAAATTTATTGAAACTTGACCACCCAACAGCACAGACCTCGTGTCATTTTCCTAGCGATTTCCAAGCCTCAGAATTCACTTTTGCAGTAAAATTCATTTTTCAACTAATGAAACTTTTTCCGAGTCGCTCTCTGTTGGCGTTCCATTTCGAAGTAAATCTATTAGGTGAGAGTAATATTCGTCGTGCTTTTCCTTTATCTCAGGTTTTTTTTATGTACCGCGAAGAGGAGAATCTTTTTCGAAAGTATTACAAAGGGCTTTCTTTGAGGATGATAAAGCATTTAAATTCGGTTCATCGAAAGCACGCAGAAGAGGGGCTTTGTGTCTGAGAGATTTCCACGAAAAACTTGACGAGGGAGAGAGAGAAGAGCCAAGGAGTGGAAATGTATTATACAGGGCGACGTTTTATACACACTGAAGTGATTTGCTATAAAATTGTGGGTTTTATGAAAAAAATATAAAATATAAAATTCTAAATCTGATGATGGCGCTGTTGTCTCGCCGAAACGTAATGAAATAAACGATATTAAAAAATTTTTACTTCACACTTTGACTGAAACCCAGGAAAGATACGAATATAATAACAAAGAGACAAATTTAAGGTTTCACGAGGGCAAAGCCCTAAAAGAACGTAATGTTTACCAATTATGACTTTGTATAAATTTTAAATCTGATGATGGCGCTGTTGTCTCGCCGAAACGTAATGAAATAAACGATATTCAGATATTCAAACATTTTTACTTCACACTTTGACTGAGACCCAGGAAAGATAAGAATATAATAACAATTACACGCAGTTAGCAAAATAAATGAAAAATTTGTTCATAGTACAAATTTATATAAAATTTCCTTTTGCATTTTGAGTGGATTCAAAGCAAGGAGTGACGAGAGTGAGTTTGCATTTGTGCCCTTTGGGCTTAGGAATTGTCGAGTTTCACACGCAAAACACTGAAAGTGAATAATTTATTTTGCAAATTCCTAGTGTTCTTCATTCTATATCAACTTTTCATTATTTTCCCCAATTCTCTTGGTCCTCAACTCGTTTGAATTTAGGACTTAAAAACGCTTCGCCAAAAGCACCAGTTTTTTTCAAACTGTAAACATTTTTTTCGCTTTCGGATAGTTGGACCACCCAGAAAAACACCCTTTTCCATCGTCATTTCCAAAGCACTTCGACTGATAGATTATCACCCAGGACTGTTTATAACAGCGATAAAAACGCATTTTCCAAGTGATGTTTTGCATAGAAAGCAGTTGCACCAGTTGGAGCGATAACAGGACATGGCGCGGCTTCTTTGTTCATGAGAATTTAAAACGGAAATGTCTTTGTGTGGGCTGATGGTTTGCACTTAAAGTATTAACTATCTTTCGCCATGTTTGCGGTTTGTTTTCAAGCTGGTTTATTCTAATGAGTCAAGGTTGAAGTAAACCAACGAAATGGTTTTGAGTGGCGCCCGATTGAGTCTTCTGAACTTTATATTTCATGTGTTCGCGTTTGATGCTGCAGTCAAGCCAGTTTCATCGAAACGTTGCACATAATTCCAGCTGGAATGATTTATGATTTTTCCCCGGCGCAAGGAAAACATCAGTCAAATCGCCGCTGGAAACTGAATAAGTAACATTAGCATTTTGGCAAGTGCATCGCATATTTTCCCTTTTAATTCCTTCGCCTGTGCTCCCTCCTTAATCAATATCTTGTCAAGAGAGGAATTATGCCCGGTCATAACCGATGGTATGCTCCGCTTCAAAATATTAATCGTCCTAACAGGCGAAATGACAAAGCAAAAATGCCTCGGCCTCTCCCAAAGTGGATACCCTCCTCCGAAAATATAAATATAAAAGATGTTAAGCGTGAATTTTTCATATCATCACTAATGTGCGCGCCATCAATCAATCTAAATTAGCAAGCGCTCCCTTGGGAAAACAACTATCTGATATTTTCTCTTTGCCTGTTTTTCCTTCGGCTCGGGCCCTGGTGCTAAAACAATCTCCTCACATGGTTTTTCGATCAAGATGCTTGATTGATTTTTCTAATTAAATCTCATGGTCACCGGAACCCAAAAAAGAACTCGCCTCTGGGACATTTGCATCTGATTAGACGCCAATAAGCAGCCGTTTTCTTTAATATAAGATAAAGCAGCTTTTAAGCAAAATTGCCATTCCAGTCGAAATACCAGTGAAATAATTTTCGAGAATCGTCTTCGCAAAGTTTCACTAATAAAGCTATACAAAGCGATGTTAGAATTGGTCTCATTAATCTCCTTTTCGGAACAATCAGTTTTGAGAACGAAGCCCGGCCAAGTCAACTGTGCACAAATTAATTTTTCCGTCTTCATCCTTCATTGTATTCTTTGGCTTTGCCGTGACAATATTTCCAGCTAGAAACCGGGCCATTTTCCACTCGAAAGTACAATACAGTTAATTTGGTTTCGGATTGGAATTAAACTAGTTCTCCTAAGAGGATTTATTTCTTTCATGCTTTTGGGAGGATTCGAATACTTTGATGGATCTGATCAGTCCGTAAGTACCTGGTTTTGGTCACTCTAAATCGGTCAAATCTTTCGCATAATCGCGTTTCGAATTCGAATCATTGAAAGAATATTTTGGGGCAGATTTTCGACGGAACCGGCAACTCTTAAACGAATTCGTGTAAAGAATGAAAACTGATGTTGTGAAGTGAGGTTAAGAGGCTTCAATCAATTGCATCCAGCGCTGCAGGCCCGAATGGAAAAAATCGACTAAACAATCAACCAAACAGCAAACGTAAAGAAAGGGTCGTGGCCGAAAATGTAGCGGATACAACCTCTTGTCCGCGGCGGTTCTAATAATTAATCAGGCGCCTTATTATCGCTCGGGACATCCATTAGACAGTCCAGGAAGTCATTAGAGCGCCACAAGGCTAATGGGGCACCCTTGCAGTCACTTATCAAGGGGGCCCGCGTGCCACCAAGCGTCAAATCAATGCAGAGCCCTTCACCTCTTCTACCTTTGCGACATTTCAAAGGGCTTGTGAAATATCGCCCAGGTTTATTGCGCCCTCAAGGCGCAACAGCGGATAAGAAAACACCATATTGTTATTCTGGATGATACACGAAACGATTTGTTTACCGTTAAACGCCCTTCGGGCGCTTTTTTCAAGGGACAACGCATCGCTTTCTTGCATCCCGACGAGGCCACAGCGACTATTTCGATCCGAATTCATCTGTCTTAATGTGTTATTGCCTTCTTCATATCATCATTCATCGTTTAAATCTCGCGAGGATTTCGAGCAAACTACTTCCAATGGAGGGTGAGCGAGACATGTTTAGTCAAGTCATTGTTTTGCTGTTTTTAAAGGTTACAATAGGATTCTTTACCAAAAGAGTTGACGACCATTTCTTGAAACTGATGAGCTTTTTTAGACTGCCCGGGACGTTTCGCAAGCGCGAGTGGCGATTATTTTCAGTGATGGTCTGCTCAACGCATCGCCCCTCTAAGGAGGCTGGCCACTCCGCCAAAAGATTGTGGCATATCGCAGATATTTCTTGAAACTGATGAGTTTTTCGGGTTTTTAGACTCCCGCGGGAAAAATTATTTCTGACGTTTCGCAAGCGCGAGTGGCGAGCAYCTWCAGAGGTGGTSATGC